TTTAATTTAAAAAATTACAATTTGAGTTAAAAAAAAAAATTTGAATTAAAAATAAAATTTGTCAAAGTTTAAAAAATAGTCAATTGCATGCATTAAGTTTGCGATAGCCACGAAGTTTTTGCTCAAAAAACAAAATAAATAAAATTATTTTATACTGATTTGTCTGTATGTATTTTGATTGTGTACGCAGTTTTGGCACGCCAAACGAATTTTTCATAATATTTCACTTATCTACTAGCATATTGCTGAGGCTAAGCTAATTAGCGCTTTGCTATTTGGAAATCAAGCTACTCAAGTTTGTATGCATGTTTGTTGTAGTGCAAATAATATTTACCCAATATTGAATTTAATGGATGAGCCGAAATTGGCTAAGCTCGAGGCGACGCTTGAGCCGGGCATTGTCTCCGAGCGCTGCATGCTCTTACTCAAATGCGTCGATTCGTCGAAGGTCGCGCTACGTTGACCCTTGAACAATATCGGCTTATCGGTATACATAGTGCTGTTATTTGCGTCAGCGTTTGGTTGGTCGCCTGCTGGCTCTTTGGTGTTTGTGGGCGTAGTTTGATCTTGCAGCTCTTCATTCAAGGCGCCGAGCGGATCGTTTTGCGTGACCGGCGTACGCGGCGATATTCTGTAGGAACACAAATATTAATATTAATGCTGTATAATATATAATTTTATGCGCGCTTACTTCGTTGGACTCTGCAAGTTGTTGATTTCCTCGTGCTCCACACTCATATCTCCGCTGCGCGCCACAAAGTCCAGCTCCTCTTGCGAGCTCGCGATGTCATGCTCCATTTCGTTTTCTTTCAGCGCCGTTACATCATCCGCTATGTACTCTTCGCCATCACCAATATTCATTATCTTATAGCGCGGCCCACTCGTCTCGCTCGGCAGCGATTGTTTGCGTTGCAATTTATCCAGCAGCTGCGCGTCACCGCCAAAGCTCTCCGTTTTAGTCAATTGCAGCTTGCCGCCAGCGCCCACAACGCCCAAATCACAGCCCGGGCTGTGTGGACTGCTTGGTGTGTGTGGCGCAGATGTGCTCGTCGGCACTGCGCTCTTATCGCCGGCCGACTTTTCACCACTCGCTTTACTCTCACCCGATATCAGCAGACCGGCAGTTGAACTGATCACATCGCCTGCTGGATCTTGCGCGCCCATTGCCATAGCTGACTGCCGCACAATGCTGCCGAGTTTGCCGCGCAGCTTGTCGAATGCCGAAAAGTCGAGCAGTGTCACGCTGTATGCGTGCGCGTCACCAGCGCCGCGTTCCATATGCGACGACGTCGAGGAATCTAAGCTGGTGCGCGAGGTGCCATCCACCGTTTCCAGCGTGCTTAGATTGTTCTCACACGAGGCCGAGAGTGGTTTCTTGGCGGCATGACGCTTGCCGGCGCGTCGAAAATGCGCTGCGCCAAGCACAACGTTCTTAATGCGATTCCAACGTAACTGGCTGAGCGTCGTGCTGTCGCTGGGCCAATCCGACTCGAGCACGCAGCGATTGTAGAAGCCGTAGGTGAGTGCGTTCGGCTGCACGCCCGAGCGCTTCATTAAATAGTGCAGGCGCACAGCTAAGACGGGCAAATTGTGTATGCCGCACAATTGCATCATGATGCGGTAGCAGAACTCATCACAGGTGATTTTTAGTTTGGATGCGCGCACCAGCATATCGTAGGCGGCGCGCAATGTATCGTGCTCCTTGCTCGCCTGTCGCGTCTCATTCACCATGGACGGCAGTATGAGGAAGTAAATCGAGTAGCAGGTGGCTAGCAAATATTTGGACCACGCCTCCGGATGCATCTGACAGCGGCGCGCCATTTTTTGCGACATTTTGATCTCGTGCTTTGTGCGGCGCGCTATTGGTGAACCGGGCGCCAGCGAGCCATTCAACTGCTGTTGTAGAAAGTGGTTTAACGCAGTCTTCTTCGATGATTTCAAAAGGCTGGGATTCAGTGTGAAGTTGGTATAATTGTAAACTGCGCCGGAAGTATCTATTCGGAAGCGTAAATAATTTTAGAAATATATGTGAAGCGCATAATTTACTAGTACCAACCTTTATTGGGGCCCACGCTATCGGGTGGGAATATGTACTTCGTACGCTCGCTATTCTGTCCCGACTCCCAGTCAATCAAGCGCAAGTCTGATGGTGTGTCATCGTATGCGCCCACCTTTTCCGCGCATTCGTCGAAAAATGTGAGACCATGATCGCCATCGGAGACGAAGGAACGTTCCTCAATGAAACGTATAAACATTTGTGTTTTCATGAGTAGTTCAAAGAATTTCTGATGCGCCTTATCGCGCGATCGCGAGAACGCCTTCAACTGAAATAAGGCACTTGGATCTGTGGCGCCGACGGAGGGCGCCTTCGATATGGGCGTTAAGTAGTCACGATAGCCGCGTAAAATCGATGCCATGAAGAGTAGAAAGGCCTCCTGTATTCGTTGTTCGAGATCTTGCTGAAAATAAAAGTGGAAAAATAAATATTAATTGTTATCAGTTATCGATATACATATAAATAATTAAAATAAGACTACGAAGTAATTATTTTAAATGCGACAGATAAGATACCTCACGCTTTCGTTTTCTTAGATCCCTGTCAAGACTATTTGTTGATTCGATGTGTGTGGCTTTTAGAACTTCCAATTCGTTGAGTGTTTGTCGCAAAATACGCGCAGCACGTTTAGGCAATAATTTTATCGTCAAATTCTTTTGTGATTCACACAACTGTAATGCAAAACAAATACATGGGGTAGATAAGAATATTATATATTGCACTACGTGGCCCACGTTTGTTTAGTTTAACTTACGCTGATCGTGTTTGTATCTAAGTCGATACAAGTCACATCTTGTGGCGGTTCATATAAATCGAAAAAACGTGAATCGACACCTATTAAATATGGTAATGGCGCATGTAAGACCTCCGCTAAGCCAAGTGGACACAATGGTATGTACGGACATTGCCATTTAAAGGGAAATAGCAGCGAAACAATGGCCTCACCAACTGCAGTTAATGTGGCGGGCCTAATAATTTAAATTTTTATTAATATAACCTTAAAAATAGTAGTTTAAATACAAACCGTAAGGAGTGTATTAAGATTTTTTGCTCCGTCAAGGCCAACAGCATTACATGCAGACAATTATCAGTGCCCAAATTTTGCAGCAACATGTGGAAGCCAGCACCGCTGCGTGGTAAGGGCGAGTCTTCCGGTTGCGTGAGCAATATGCGATCTTTCGGCTCGCTGGAAAGCTGTCAATATACAAAAAATGTGGTGTAATAACGATTTTAAAATGACAGTTGATAAAAAACTTACTTGCAAATGTATGCTAGGCGCTGGAAACTGTACTTCATCCAACAATTGCGTTACGTAACGTTCAATTGATACTGGTAAATCTACCCCGTGCACGGCCAAGTGCTGAGGAATTAAAAAAAAAAGTCAAAGTCAATTTAGAATATATTTAAAATTAAATTATCAAAAGTTTATTTCAAATATAAAATGTGATTAAAATTAACAAAATTTAATTTGAAATAAAAAAATTTAATTTATTATTTAAAATCATTATTTATATTTACTTACATGTAAGTAACGCAGCCATCTGTCAAAAGTGTCACCAAATGGATAGTGTGATAAAAGGCAAATAGATTTGATTATATGCAATGAATGCTGCTTCGCGAACATTTCATCCCAGCCCAGGAGTTCACGCTGTTTTTCATTTAATGCGGATTCCCTAAAAAGAAGAAAAATATAAAATGTCAATAATTTTGTCAAAATAAGTAAACAATATTGCCACTTACTCAAAATCCTCATAGAATGTCAATGCAGAACCATACACCTTGTATGTGCCATCATTAACTGTCAGCACAAAGGTACTAAATACAGGACTTGTGGGTTTACGCTTCTCGCCCTCTTTCACATGCGGCCAAGCCTCTAGCGATGCGCCCATTGGCAGACAAAACAACGGCACACTTGGGCAGAGATTTAATGGAAAGTCATTATGATCGACAGTTGGATAACGTAGTAAAATTTCTGGCTGATAACTGATTAATTTCGGACGGTACATAGATTTTTTGTAGCATAAATACACATCACTGCCCATATAACCCCGATTGAGTGTTTTATAAATGAGACAGAATGCATGCGGTGGTCGTTCACCTTTACTTTGCACGATGACACATAAATCTGTGACGACTAACTCGTTGCATGGCATGTCGGGTCGTGCGCGTCGGTAGGTGAGATAAATTTTCGAGGAAGAATTATTCACATTGGCTATGCGTCCACCCGGTGTTTCGGCGACGATTTCGGCATCAGACATTATGCGTTCATGCCCATCGTACAGCACACCTGCGAATATTTTTTTATATCAGAAAAATATGAATTAGTTGAAAAATTTAATATATCTACCTATATCCACCAGAGGCGGTCGATCTTTGCCACGTTTATAATAAATATAACACTCAGTTGAACGCATAGAGCCATGATTGAGATTCGCAGGCAGTCCAGTGGGTGTTGTTTCCAACACCTCATAACCGTCGGGCACTTCTTCATCGAGTAACGGAAAATATACACCAATATCTGTTATAGGTTCAATGGTATTGGCAGCACGTAAATGCCCAGATTCGCTAAATATATTCTCCTGTAGCAATTGCGGTTGTTCTGGCATGCCAGCGACTACAAAATAGTCAGCAATCCGTTTCTCTTCCATTGCGCTGTAGATTATAAAATGTGTAAGAATAACAAAACTGATATCGCACTAACAAACAATACAATGATTTTATATCTATAACAATTGTACTTTGTTTTCATTTGACGTTTTCATCGCCTTTGTTTTGGTCACTAACGAGCACACAGCAACCACAATCCAATCAGATCTTGCTATGCCGTTCACAATAGCTGGCATAAAATTGCATTCACTTGCAATTCGATGTTTATTGAGGCAATACAGTTTTTTTTTTTTATCTAACACAACAACCTGTTCTGCCCACTTAAAGGAATCCTTCGATTTTACATTGAACAAGATATATTTGTTAACGCCTTCCTTATTACTAGTTTTCTATAAGGAGCTGGTTTAAACAAGTTCGCCCTTGCAGCTTTGCACTGTCATATGAATCACCGCCCCGTCACTTCCTCTTCCAATATTTCTACACTTACATTCGGGGTCAAATTGCTATTAGCCTCATCGTAGAACACCCGTTGCCAATGCGAATTTTAGTTTGTAGATCAGTTTACTTTTATTAACACACACTTTATTTATGTATTGTTAAAACAACACTTCACTCACTTTAATTGATTTTGCTGGGTTTTGCAATTTATGATTCAATTTGCTCATTAACCAGCCTGCTGCCTTTTACTTTTGCCTTGTACTCCTTTTTTCGTCGTGTGCTTCTAATAGAAAATTTTCACAGCACTGCGTAAAAAATATCTTGGCCTTTTACACCAACATTTCTCACTTAAATACTGTTACAATTAATCACCAATGATAAATAAATGATTAAAAAACTAATATTTGAATATTCTAACGAAGAATAAAATTCAGAAATGCTTCACTATTGGAATTTATTTTCCTTTGCAAAATCCATTGGTTCGGTGACTGCCAAGTGTGTTGAGCGTTGCCAGCTGTATTAATTCGGTTATGTCAAATAAAATATCTGACGTTTTAACAAATATATTTGTAAGAAAAGTTTTTGTGATTAATAGTTTATAAATTTAAATACATTTGAAAACAACTTCGAAAAAACATTCATTGATAAAGAACTGATATTAAATTATAGAATAGTTATGATAATCGTTTGCAACCTTGAGAGTTATGGCAAGTCTAAAATGTGCAACTGTCATCATGTCAGTGTTGGTACAACAAGAAACTGTCAAAAACTGTTCAAAACGCATTGTTAGAGATAAAATTCGAAAATAATTCTTTTAAACGGTAATAGCCGTTTAGATCTCTTCTTAAATTAATCATTTATTTCAAGAGAGTGAAAAATTAATTCAAATTTATCTTTTTCAGCATATAATAAATATTTATTTAGTATATATGTACGTATATATGTATTTATAAAAAAATATATTTACTTTTGGGTCTTATTCAGTTCCGTTTCTTTTGTTGGTGTGCTTTTGACATAAATACGCGACGTCAGGAACGAAAGCGAAAGGGGTTTCCTACAATAATTACTAAAATTTGACGACTGCTTTTGCTTTTGGTTGCTGAGGTCCAGTAGGTTGATTCATTTATCATCTAAGTTCTGGTCTGTTTCTAGTTTTTCATATCCTGAATAGAAAATATTAAATTTGCCATGAAGTTGTTAACACTCATAGGGTTCTTGTACATAAAATGATCAGCGTGACGAGGTGAAACGATTTCGTGTCCGTCTGTCTGTATATATCGGAACTAGTCTTTCAGTTTTTGAGATATCGATCTGAAATTTTGCACATATTCTCATTAGGCCAAGAAGCTGTTGCTCGGAACAGCCGAAATTGGAAGACTATAGCAATCAAGGTTTGGCCGGAATGTAAGAGGACTGAGTCGATTTAAAATATGTATTGAACCAGTCGTGACAATTTTTTAAAAACTTTCAAAGTTAGCTCCTGCTGCGTCGATGCAGCGCTGCCAGCGCGATTTCCAAGGATTTAAGGCGTCACGGAAGGCATTTTCCGGAATAGCCTTGAGAGTCGAGATGCATAAAGAAAAAAAGTCTGGGGGACCACATCTGGGCTGTAGGGCGGCTGTGGAAGCATTGGGATGCCGGCCTTGGTTACGTAGCTATTCATAAGAAAGGCGGTTTGAGCTGGGACATTGTCGCGGTTTTGTCGGAACCGATTGACCCCTCGTTTGAGTGTCTTGAGGACTTCCACGTAAAACTAAGCGTTAATGGTTTGTCCAAAATGAACAAATTCATGGCGGACGATGCCTTTGATGTCAAAAAAGACAATGAGTATCGTTTTCACTTTCTATTTGCTCATTCTTCAGGTCTTAATCAGCGACCCCTTCCCTGCATCCAAAAAGGATTGGGTAAGCGTACCTATGCTCTAACGAATGCTCCATTTTCGGCTTGCACGACTCTCAGCGACCCCTTCCCGGCATCCAAAAAGGATTGGGTAAGCGTACCTATGCTCTAACGAATGCTCCATTTTCGGCTTGCACGACTCTCAGAAAGACGTCGCGCGTAAATGTTTGTGCTGACCCTCCATGTGCTCGGATACAACTGTTCAGCCCTCTACCGAATCCAGTCGATACTTGCACGCCCCGAAGTACAGTTGCGGCGGAAGAAAATCAGTCCTATTACTTTCCGGACAATACCTGGATATGTAATCATTTCCGGCTCAAGGAGTATGTAAACAAACAAAATTGCCGTATTAAGGACGAAGAGCAACCTGAAGAGGTTCAAGAGTTGCCATTTTTGCAGAAAAACTAACGGTTTGATGTACTTTGTGGGACGGTGGAATTATCGGTCCATATTTCTTCAAATATTATGCCGATGAGAACCGTTATCGCACCATGATAACCGATTTTTTGATGCCTGAAATTGCAGTTCGTGATCTCGAGGACATTTGATTTCAACAAGACGTCGCCACTTCCCACACATCGCGTCAATCAATGGATTTATTGAAGTAACACTTCGGTGAGCAGATAATTTCTGGCTTTGGGTAAATTGCATATCAAGATCGTGTGATGTCACAAGGTTAGACTTTATCCAGTGGGGTTATGTAAAGTCTAAAGTCTATGCGGACAATCCTGCTTCGATGCAGGTCTTGAAGCAAAGCATCGCACGTGCAATTCGCCAGTTACCAGTTGAGATGTAGCCGCGGCCAACATTTGACGGATCTCCGAAAAACAAGTGCCAAAGAATGTTCTTTCTAATGACTTTTGTATTTGCCGAGTTATCTTGCCGAAATTTGGCATGGATAATTTTCCACGGTACTGTTATTATCTCCTGAAAACTTGTTTATACTATAGCTTATAAGCCTACTTTACATACTGACCGATCAAAATCAACTTGGATATCTTTTTACACCATTGTGCTATGAGAAATGACAGTTTCAAGGGCATATTTATTTTCGTTTTAATTTCCATTTTGAAATACAAATTCATGCACAAATGTGCTGTGAAGCCAGGCGCACGTGTGTTTTTCAGATACCCACAACACGCCCACCCGCCAGTGGCTCAAAAAGATAAGAAATAAAAAGCAGATGAGAATGTACACAAAAAAAAAAAGAAAAAAAAATGTCTAACAAGTGTCTGTTAGTCTCACATAAGTAAAAAAAAAAATAAATAAGAAGAAATCAGTAAGTAGTCGAGAAGAGCAGTCAATCATAAGGAGAGTGTGAGTAAAGGACCTTTACTCATAGTAAAAAGCACTCAATGAGTAGTAAAAGTGAAAGAGCGAAATGAAGTTGCTCAGTCTTTGAGTATAATAAAAATTCGGCTCGTGAGGTTTACGAAGCAACAATTACAACCCACACACAATTGTCCCAAAACACCAAAAGTAAGCAAAAGCTGTTATCAAAACAAGTTTTGTTCGATTCCCTTTAGTTGCATTTGTCGTCCTTTGGGCGCAGGTCTGACGAGTGCATAATGGCATTGGATTTCATTTTGATATGTATGTACATATGTATATGTAACGGAACCATCGTCATGCGATTTTACGTGTAATTTTGGCGCGAATTTCAAAGGCGAGGGAAAGTAAAGCCATTAAAATGGCGATAAGCCTTTGCTTTATTGCAACAAAAAGCATGTGAAAGTATAGTTATCGGAAAATGATACCTTTGGGCCGCATAAATATTGAAAGAGGAAACCAAACAAATGCAATAAGTGGTAAGTGTAAGAATTAGAAGGATTTCAAAGTAATAAAATGGAAACTTTTTAATTTGTCTCGTAAAATTGCAGAAAAAGGTTGCAAAATTGATGTACCCAACTGCCACGAGTCCATAACTACATACATACATTTTTCATTATAATAAATTCGCACATAACACATCTCAACCCGTCCCTTGGTGTTGTCGCCGAAAAATATGCTATATAGTATTAGCTCAAGGCAAATGGCTGAGTTTCCAACACAGTTGGCGGCACGGAAAGCCACTAAATTATTTATTTTAATGCACAATGTGTGTGTGCAGTACATGTGTATTATTATGTTTTTGTTTTTGTCATAGAGGCAGGTAGTTTGTGGGACATAGCGTTAAGTAAAGGACCGCGCCTAGAGCTATGCTACACTTGTGCATGGATAATGGAAAGCAAACAATAAATTGTAGGCGGAGACTTCTCAGTTTCAGGCAACAGCCACAAAAAGGAGGGGAAAACAATTATGACTTCTGCCAACATATGTGCCGGCAAACAAAAACACATTTTGCCCTTGTTTTGGCTGCACGGGGTATCTGCTTTAATGCTAGTTTATGCAAAATATTTCATATTAAAGCTTTGAAGGGAGGATGGTCGTTTTTAAGACACTTTTGCTGGAAAATTTATCAAATATATATGAAATTTTATCGGTGTATTTTAAGGTTAGGTTAGATTATGGCAAAAGAGGTTAAATTATATTGAGTTCTTTTAGGTTAGGTTAGATGATGAAGAATTGTATTACAAATTAATATTTTAAGTTTTGTTAGATTCTTCAATTTTTACCTGGAATTTTATTATAATCATGCTTTTATGGTTGCTTGGAATCACTCGGTTAGGAAGTGGAATTATTTTCTGAAGATTCGAGTCTGCTTATTTTGAATGAAATAACATTTATATCTGAACTGGACCAGTCTGAAAAGAATTTCGCAAATTTTTTTGCGGATTTTTCTGCAATTACGAGTATGCTAAAAAAAATTTACATTTCAATTTGCTCTCGACAAAGTTAAGTTTCAAATTGAGTCGCAGTTTCTCGAAGAACTTTTACTCGCTAGGGAATTTGATTTTATATCTGAAGAATCGGTTTCTCGTGGGGTATTTTGATAACTTTCTATTAATTTGTATTCGAACAAATGTGTTCTTCTTTTCTATGGCTTCACAAAGGACTATATAGCAGTCCGCGTGCGAACCCTCTATAACAACCATCTAAACTAACCTAACCTTGTATTCATTTGATGTTAAACCTCCATTAGTCGGCAAGCATTTGCTCAAAATGTGCAAAGTAATAGGATTGATTTTCTTACGCCGCGACTGTACTTCAGAGCGTGCGCGCACCGACTGGATTCGGTAGAGGGCGTTCCTTGCTAACAGACGAGCGCCTGGTCTGGTTGTCTCCGAGCATCTGTAGAGTCAGGACAAACGTTTTCGCCCGACGTGTTTCTGTGAGTGGTACAAGCCGAAAATGCAGCGTTCGTTAGAGCAGAGATGCGAGTTTTTAGAGCAGAGGTACGAGTTTAAATTCTGTGTGAAACTGGATAAATTTGCAACAGAGATGTTATGATTAAGCAAGCAGATATGATCAAGCAGAGTCATGGATCTTTGAGCATGATCCGGAGACAAAAAAGGCAATATTCCGAGTGGCATACACCGGCGTCTCCTCGCTCAAATAAGGGAAGAATGGGCAAAATCAAAGTGAAAACGATACTCATTGCTCTTTTGACATCAAAGGCTACGTCCACCATGAATTTGTT